CCCCCCCCGTCCCCCGCGGAGGTGCAAGGCCCCTGCAAGCCGCATCACAGAGATTTGTGCAGGCAGGGGGGTCCCCCGCCAGCCTGCAGGCTGTATCCATGCGATGCTCGGAGGAAACCACAGACCCGGAGACCCAGCCCTGGGCTCTGCCCCGCTCCCAGCCCCTCCTTGCTGGGCATTTACAGCGGGGAGTCTCCACCCGAGCAGGACCCCCGCAGCCTTGAGCTATGCTCACGCACCGGGCGGTGCCGGGGGGAGAGCCGGGGTTCCGGGGCTGCGTCCCCGGGCGCTGAGCCTCGCAGGCACCTCAGCCTCCTCCGCCCCGTGAAGGCTGGCTGGGTGTGTTGGGGTTCCTTGGGGCATCGCTGCTGGGGGCTGCCCGGGCATCCCTGCACAGGGGTCCCTGGACCCCTCACCCCGTAGGGGTAAGCACCTTTCCCAGCCCCTCCTGGTAGCCGCTGGGTCCCCGCTGCTCTCCCCTTCCGCTTCAGAGGGACCCCGTCTCTGCCCCCCTTTAAGCTCCCCGATGCGTTTTGCATTTCGCCTGGTTTTCACGGGTCTCCCACGCCCTCCCCATGCTGTTTGCAGTTTACCGAACCCCACCAGCCTCCCCGAGCTCCCCGCCAAGCCGCCTGTGCTGGGCTTTGCCTTCACAGGCGTTTTGGTGGCGACAGATTGCGAGGGTGCAAAGAGGGGGGCAGCTGGGTGGGCACCGGCACTGCTGGGGAGCGGGAGCCGAGTCGGGTGGCTGATGGTGGGGAAGGGATGGGGCAGCCCCCCGACCCCCCCACAGCCCGTGTGCGGCCGAAGGCTCGGCTGGCAGCGGTGCGCCGGCACACGGAGTGGTGCTGGGACCCGGTCCGTTCCCGGGGTCGCGTTCATCTCCCTTTGCTGTGATCTCTGTCCTCTTCTGAGCAAGCAAAGGAGCTTTACTGGACACCAGCAATGCTGGGCTTCCCTGTGGGCCATTCGACTCCAGCCTGCAGATCGGGAAACTGAGGCAGACAGTGATGATCAGTGACTCACCTAAGATCACCATCAGGCAGGAGCAGGAAAGGAGGCAGAAAGCAGCTCCCTTGCTCCCCAGAGAAGTATTTGCCACACTGGTCACACTGTCCCTCCATCCTGTCCCTGTCCTCCAGCCCACAATGGATTTCGGTTGCGAAAAGCAACAGCCTAAACCCCAACGGCTCCCTGTCGCTCCGTCCCACCCTGGGGAGATTGTCCCCACTCGGGAGGATCGCTGTGGGGAGCTGAACGAGGCCACTGAGGCTGTCCCAGCCTTTGGCTCCTGGATCTCAGCACAGGCTGCAAAACTCACGCCAAGCCGAGCCCCGCGGTCGCTGGACGGGGGGCACCGAGCCCTGGGGAAGGCTCCAGCCCCCGCAGGGAAGGGGCTGCGTCGACTTCGCGTCTCAGCGGTCGGAGACTCCCGGGTTTGGTTTGATGCAGAGTCAGACTCTGGGGTGTGAACCTGCGAGGTAACAGCGATAGCGCTGAGAGACGAGCAGCCCTAATTATATCCTCGCTTCCCCCGGCTGCGGGGTTCCTGCTAGCACGAAAAGCCTCCAGACAAGGCACCTCCATGCAAGGTGGCTGGGTCAGGTATAAGGAGGCAGAAAAGTGCAGAGGCAGGGAAAAAACCCAAAACTATCCAAAAATTCATTCTGGGCTCCCTCAGGGTGGAGGCTTTTTTGGCTCAGCTCAACTCGCTTTGCCCAGAGCTGCGTTGTCTCACATCCCCGAGCCTGGCAAATGCCGAGTTTGCTGCCTGCTTGGAGATGGGCACCAGAGCAAAGTGAGTTGTCAGAGCCAGGGTTTTGCGATGTAGGAGAGCAAAGACCCGGTGTGAAAAGGCTGGGGGTGGAGAGGGGGAGCAGAGCGGATAGCCCCATTTCAGCTTGAGGTCCCTTGCTGGTTGGCTCCATCTCTGACTGTTCCAATTGTACCATGCGGGGCCAGAAATGTCCTTGCTGGTAGCCTGTGCTTGGCTGAATGAGAGAAAACCAAGCAGGCGCTGCTGGCAGTGATATAACCCAGGCACCTCTTGGGTTTTTGGGAGGTGGTGGGGACTTGGTCACCAAAGAGAAGAAGAGGGGAGAGCGAGGGACCATGCATAGCCCGGGACTGCCCATGGCATCGATGCCTGGTGGCTACATCTGAGCAGGGACACCGTCCATCTGGCCCCGATGCTGAATGTGTCCCCAAACCTGTTATTCTTTGGCAATAAACAAAAGGGCAGGTTTGCTCCTTGCCAGCTGCTCCATCCCCCCAAGGTTTCCCACGCTGGCAGCTCCTCCGAGAGAGCACGGCAGGGGCTGAGCGTGCTCTGTTCCCTTCCCCAGACCCTAACTCAGGGCCGTTGCCTCTTTCAGATCACCAGAAGCTGGAACGAGAAGCCCGGATCTGCCGCCTCCTGAAGCACCCCAACATCGGTAAGCGCACCCCGCTCCCCTCCGCGTGCCAGGCGGAGAGACGGGCAAACCTGCTGGTGCTCGGTGCCTGGCTCTGCTGCCCGCCTGCCCTCCCGTGCCCCTGCCGCGGCCGGGGGGCCCCCGCCATGGATGAGGATGGGCC